AAAGGAAAAATCTGCTCTAAGAAATAAATCATTGCCTGAATTCAATTTGCAAAACAAGTATTCAAAAAGTCAGAGAACATCATTTTCCTCAAGTGCTAACTATTTTTCAAACAAGTTTACAAATCAACAAGTTGGATATCATTTTTTGTATCATAATCAAACCTTAAAACCAAAATCATTTTCAAATCAAACAAACCATTTTCAAAATCGATATATTCCAAAAAAAAAATGAAAATAAAGCTCATGGTAGATATTCTAAGGCATTTTCTCCAAAATCCAAATGTTGATTTTATTCCACAAAACCAAATTTTCCAAATCCTTCGGTGAAACAACTTTCAAAAGTTTCATAAACAAAATGGTTTTCTCGAGAGAAAAACATTGATCACTGGCTTGAAGGAGAAAAACATTGATCACTGGCTTGAAGGAAAAGGACGAATGTATCAATCAAGGAATTATTCTCAAAAACAAATTCAAGAAGCTTATGAGAAGTATGTGAATACTTCATCAACTGAAAGCTCATCTTCAAAAGATTCAAATGTTTCAGTAAAGCAGTGGAGACCAGTTGTGAAAGCAAAGAGTGTTTAACCACAACCTAAGAGGAAGAAGGCCTTTGTCAGTGACAATCTCAAATTATCGAAAACTTATGTTTCGATTCCTTTACCTACTGATGTGGACTTAATTGATAGCTTCAAAACTAAAGTTTGTGATTGGGTTAAGAGTTATGCATTTCATTCAGTTTTTAAAACTAATTTCCAAGGACCCAAACAGCCTTTGGTACCTAAATTCTTTCAATGATCGCAGGTACTCAGTGATGAGCAATATGATGAGAAATGGTATATCGATAGTGGTTGCCCATGTCACATGACTGGAGGAAAGGAGAATTTGTGAGATTATCAAAGCCTGGATAGTGCTGGAGTTGTGAAGTTTGGCAACAATCACTAGTGTCAGGTCAAAGGATATCGCAAAGTAACGAATGGCCAATTCACTGTGAAACGTGTTTCTTATATCAAAGGTCTTAAACATAATTTGATAAGTGTTTCACAACTAGTTGTGGGCACTAGAAAACAAGTTGTGTTTAACGAATGAGGAAGTATTATCTCAAAGATTGAATCGAACAAAGTGTTGCTGAAATCAAAAGGATATGGCGATATGTTTACTTTTGATATCAAACCGATTGTTGGGAAACCTTCAATTTGTTTACTTTCGAAAGCTACATCTGATGTTAGCTGGTTATGGCATCATCTGTTATCTCATTTAAATTTTTGAAATTTAAATAATTTGGTAACTAAAGATCTTGTTCGAGGCTTACTAGTGTTAAAATTTGATAACGAAACTTTACGTGTAGCTTACGAACAAGGGAAATAGCACCAACAAGGTCATCCAATTGTGATAGATTCGAAAATTGTGATAGTATTCAATTGTTGTGAGCCATGTTTTAAGGTCACCGGTCCCGATTCCGATTGATTCCTTGTTTCCCTCTCTGGAAGGTTCTGAAACCGCACTTGTGAACATCCTTAAACTTTCATTCGATGTAAAGGTGATAGGTGGCGTTGGTGGGTTTCATGGGCTGGAGATACTTCCACAAGATGCAATGCAAGTGCAGCTGCACCCATTAAGTCTTTTTTACAAAGGGGGAGAATGGGAGAATGAATGAAGATGTTGAGGGGGAGAAACATAATCAAAATAACAGTGATAGGATAAGTCTTTATCTAAAAGATGAATTTCAAGAAATTAATGATAATCTTTCTGTTGCAGGTTCAAAAAATGAAGATTTATACGAAGATGCACATTTGCATTTTGATCTAGTGTATCCACCACTCGAAAAATGGATAAAAGATCATCCGAAAGAACAAGTAATTAGGAATCCACAAGATGGAGTTTTAACAAGAGCTCAACTTCGTGCAAAGAATGAGGTACTGAATACTCATCAAGAATTTTGCATGTTCAAAGTTTTCATTTCGAAAATCGAACCAAAGATAGTTAAGGATGCAATGGAACACTCTAATTGGGTTGTTGCAATGCAATCTGAATTGACTGAGTTTGAACGAAACAAGGTTTGGACATTAATTCCTAAACCTGAAAATATTTCGATTGTCGGGTTAAAATGGATTTTCAAAAATAAAACTGATAAAGATAGAAACATTATTCGAAACAAAGCTAGGTTTGTTGTAAAAGGTTACTCACAACAAGAAGGAGTAGACTATGAAGAACCTTTCTCCCATATCACAAGACTCGAGGTTGTTCATATATTTCTGGCTTATGCAGCTCACAAAGATTTCGATGTAAAAGACTCTATAAAACACTCCTATTTATAGGAGAGGAAAGCGTACAAAAAATATTCTAAGGACTAAACATTAAGCTTTGAATACATTGCCTTAGAAAAATACATTACATAACATACGAAGACGCGAAGCCCTTCGTATGAAGACCTAAGCCCTTCGTCTAATTACAACATTTTTACCCTTACAATCTCCTCCTTTGTGATTAAGTTGAAGTCTCCAGTTGGTCAAAAATTGGATTGAATACATCATAACCCTTCTTATCTCAGTATACCATGCTATGACCTTCTTAATATCCTTCTTGTCTCCTTTGTTATTCTTTTTACAATGATTCATATGAATGCTGAAGTTCGTATATTGAGAAGTTGAATATCGCTCCACTTCACAAGTTTGAAACAAAAAATGTTTTGCCCTTCCTGCCTTATCTTTCCCAGCAAAAACAATACCCAATGGATTTAAATAGATTTTACCATCTTTGAATTTCTTCAGTTCTGATTGTTTCTTCGTAGGATCCATTGGTGCATTAATTTCTATTCCTTTTGCTGTTGCCAACTCAACATCTGTCTGAGTAAGACACTCAAAATAATTTTCTATAAAGATCTTGATGTGTTGACAACCAAGCTTGAATACATCTTGTTCGGTATCTTGAAGAAAGGAAAATGACTTGTCCCTTAGCAATAATGCAACTTGTATAAGATCATACAAGTTCATCAATGGAAAGTCTGCTATAGTAAAGTCACAAGTTATTCCACTTGATCTGATCACTGAGTGTCTGAGATTTTGGATGATATTTTCTAAAATCACATCTCTTTTTATGCTGATTACTTTCTTTATTTTCTCTAGTGACCGGACTTCTTCAGGAGCTTTACTCAACACTGCATGAAAACGAATTTTCATCTTCTTCCCTTCATCTACATCCTTGCACTTGACTTCAGCTCGAAACTGAGGCATGATAAACATCATATCATTCATTGGAAAATCCAGCTGATTTGAGTCAGATTTTGTAACCACATAACTTTTCTTTGGAATCTTATCAAAAGAGTACATGTGATCAAACATAACTCTGGCCTCAATTGTTTCATAGTTGTATTGCTTCGAAAGATCTCCTTTATCTAAATTTGAAGGATCTTGAGCACGAAGAGTCATAATACTTTGTAAATGTCTCAGTTTTTCTACTTCAGCCTTTACCTCAACTTTCTTTTCTTCTTTCGTCTTCTTAATCAAAATGCCTTTCCCTCTATCTTTCGAAGCTGTCTCAGTCATCACAGTCTTCGTTTTTGATGCACTCCCACCTTCTTCCCCAATTACAACTCCCTTTAGTATTGGCTTGGTTAAAGGAACAGTTGTAACCACAGTAGAAGAAACTAGACCAGCTGAAACAACAATAGGTTTTGCACCTAAAATTTTCTTTCCCTCCACCTTCGAATGTTCCCCAGCCTTCATAGAATCAAGTTTCATTTCTCCCTCTTGGACCCCTATGACAACAGGTGGGGCATCTGACACATATGGAAGAAGGATGGATATGCGAGTAAGAGGTGACAATTATTTGTGTAAAATCGCTTAAAACTGTGAAAATTTTTGTGACAGGAATTCTAAAGTAATCAACGAAGAATGAACAAGCTTCACTGATAATTCCTTTAATTCCTTTAACAACCCAAGCAAATCACCAAAATGTTGATCTTCTTTATCAGAAAGAAGAGTAAGTTTAGGACTCATACTTTCGAAGAGTTTGACAAATTTGGTAACTGCATCACAGATAATGTCAATCTTTTGATTCACAGAAGCATAATCTTGTTGGACAGCTTGAACTCCCTTCTGCATATCTTCACGAAGTTCGCATATTTGTAAATTGACATCTTCTCGAACTTTCTTTACTTCTTGACAAAATAACACATGTCTTTCCTTGGTAACGTGTTTCAAGTCTTTCACTTCATGCAAGAAATCCTAACGCTGAGAAGTCATACGAAGATCATTCGATTGATCAATAGAATCAACTTTCTCCAAAATCCATCCTTCAGAATCCCTTATCATGCCACAAACTTTGTTTATGACCTTCAATTCGAAGACCTTCAGTAGAGAATCAGCCTTTAAACTTGAAACAGAAGAACCCCCCCTCCCCCCCAATATTCGCTTGAGATTGAAGAATAGAATTCAACTTTGAATTTAAAATTTTAAATTGCTTCATGGTCATTAACATGTGATAAGGAAAATCTTCTTCTTCTGTATCAAACTTCAAATCTTCAAAGGTTCCTCGAAAACCTTCAGTGTCAGTTTCAGTCTCCAATTGCATGGTTTCATCAATGGGTGATTTGGTTTTGGTGGATCAGTAGATTGAGATGAAAAAATTAAAGTGAAAGGGGTATTGATGACATGTTGGAAAGTAGGTGAATCAGTGGTAGATGTTATTGGAACAACGGGAGTAATCTGTGGAGATAAAGAAATACCTTGTTCTGAAGTCTTCAAATTATTCTCACCCATAATGACATTTCTACCCATATCAGATATGTTTACAGTGATGTCTGAAGTTCGAGCCTCCACAGAAACTGTCTTGGCACTCGAAACTTCAGGTGGTTGAGTCACTGAAGTATCAAAGGTAGTAAGAGTTGCTTCAGGAGTTGCTGGAAGAACTTCTGTGTCATCAGCGATGGAATCAGAAGAAATGAGCAATTTTCTCTTCTTCTTCTGAGAAATATGTTTGTCCATGTTAGCAGCCATTCTCTTCTATGTTGAAGGAGACATAGGAGCTGGTACTTCTCTAAAAATTACTCCTTGGTGAGAAACTTGTGGCTTAAGAACCCTCTTCATACCCAACGATCTTCTCTTTGTCTTTGATGTCATCTTAATACGCTTGAATACACCAGTATTTGAAGGAATTATTTCGTTTTCAATGACCTGGGTATCAGGAACAACATGCTTTGGCTGATCGAGTTCAGGTTCAATGACATGAACGGACTTTGGTTTCTTCGAAGACTTGGCTTTGGTATCCGAAGACCCAACATCACGTTTCTTTGTCTTCTTGGATTTCTTTGCAGATGGATGTGGTAGAAGAATCCTGGTTTCTGCAGAAGTATCAATAGTTGCTAAGTAAGAAACCAAGACAGAATTCGAAGGATCAATTCTCTTGAGCATCGCATCAGGAATACGAGTTGCAAACGGAAAGTCATCCAGATCATCCGTTGCATCCTTTAGACAATGGTAGGTATGAAAGACAACTTTTCTCCTCATCAGCTGTTACCAATATCCCTTCTTTTTCATAAAAATATTGTAAGATCAGGCTCCAATATCTAGCACACGAAATGCCCTGGACAACATTCGTATTCTCGATGCTCTTTTGAAATTCCTTCCAAAATTGAGTTGAATAGTCTACTTGAAGATCATAATACAGCTCGACTACCATGGCGTATACCTCCATCCTTCCTTTATCAAGACCTACCGTTCTGCCAGTCAACCAACGAAGAAAAATGCCAAATAGCAAATTCCACACACAAGGAAGTCCTAATTTCTTGAAATCACTGATTTTGGTAAACTGTGGTTGATGTCCCTTTTCATTGAACATGTCGACTATTTGTGGAAATGTGAATGACACATATGGCGAAGAGTTTGGGATAGCAAGAATTTGCAAAACAGCTTTTGAGTCAACCTAACCTTTTTGACGTTGATTAGGTTAAATGTAACTGCATCCAAGGCCTTTGAATATGTAGCGGTTGATCAGACTTGTGATAACCAAGAAATAGGAACAACAAAAGAGTTAAACATTGTTGTTGATAGAATAGAATGTTGCAAAGCAATGATCAACATGTTAAGTTCTTCCGGATACAACGATACATTAGACTCCACCTGATAGTTTGTTCCTTGGATTTTCATGATAGGTAGTGAAGTAACATCATCTGTGTTGTGTGAAGGTTCAACCGCAATATTCTCTACATTTTCCATTTTTAGGGTTTTGAACAAGATGAAGAATAGAGAAATTTTGAGTTGCAGAGAGGATTTGAGATAATGTAAGCATAAATTGATGAATACCCCTTGAATCCCCTTTTATATGTAACTCTTCAATTTAAAATCAAAGCGGGATAAACATTTAATGTTCGCTGACGTTTCACCGAGAAAAACGCATCATGATGATGATAAAGTAACCATGCATCAAAAAGTAACTATCATATCGCCTTGAAAACCGGAGGTAATATAAAATGTCTCATCAAACAGCATGTTTTTATTGACCCAAGGGAATTGTAACCGTCGGAACCCTTCGGATGGAGGCTAGGCTCTTTTACTTTTGGGTTTTAAAGTAAAGTCATTTGGCAGAGATTCAAAATCATCAGCCTGAGTTGGTATTACTCAGAACCTCAAGGATTTCGTGTGTGCATTGTGTCAAAGAATTAAGATCAGAAGCAAATTAATTTTTTTTTTGGATATTTGTGATGTCAAAAATAAATTTGACACGAAGGCAGTTAAACCCCAGGCAAAGGTTGCTTCGTTAATTATCAAGAGAGATAATCAACAGCTTGTGTATGTTCCCGCGAAATACAATCGAAAAGTTGTAGATAAGTTTCGAAGGGCATCTTTTGTAAGGTTACATCGGTGGCTAAAAACAATTTAGTTACATATTAACCTTAACATAAGGTGAGTAATTGTAACATAAATTACTTGTATGACCAGTGTAGTCAGTGACAAGTTTGTTTTGAAAAATATTGAAAGTAACTTTGGAATTTGAAGTAAACTCACACACAAATCATATCCATGAAAAAAATTATGCTGGATCTTGTTGGGTAACAAATTTCATGGGTAACTAAAATTTGATCAGGATCACTCATACGAAATGAATATGATTTGGATTTTTGAAGATTGGTACTTAAACAAAAGTTTCGTTAAATTTGGAACATAGTTCCCCAGCAATTCCTTAGCTTGGAAAGAATTTTGGGTTTCACTATCATCACGGTCTCATGACGATTGATCATTAACACAGATTTGTGATATACCTAGATTTCGATTGGTTTTGATCAGAAACCTCTTGGATATATGTCTTCGTGTGTGCAAGTGTAAGAATTTTAAGATGAAAAAGATTGGTTCCTTAGAAAGAATGTACCTATGTTATATTGGACCAAACATAAAACTCTTAACTCATGTGAGAAGAGTAAGGTAGCTCATTAAACTAATGTGAATGTAAGCCTTATTGGCAAGAAATCTTCGTATGAATAATTTCATTAAGGCTTTCGAACATTGAGTCAATTTGAGGCTTTAGACAACATGCTGCAGCATGCTTCGAGGGACATCTTAACTAGTTTTCAAAATTTGAAATTAAAAAAAAATAGAGATTTATACCTTCCCAAAGAATCTGCGAACATTTGCCTCTTCATCTCTTCAAGAATATCTACAACAAAGTAGTTAAAGAAAAAAAAAATTTGTTTTTGATTTTTCAAAAATAAAGAACAAAATAAAATGAAAATCTTTTTGATGTTTTTGATTTTTTGAAAATAAAGAACAAAATAAAATGAAAATATTTTTGATATTTTTAGAACAAAAAATTTATCAAACATACGAATACAAAGCATCCGAAGAGTGACATATGAACAGTAACCTTATCCATTGATGAAGTGTATGTGAACTGTCAATCTTCTTTTTCACATGAAATAGAATTACCATCTACCATTCCAAGTCCTTCTAAAATTCTACAAATGATTTTTCATCCAATGCTTTCGTGAAAATATCAGCCAATTGATAAGTAGTTTTCACAAAATGAACTTCAATATTCCCATCTTCTACATGATCTTTTATTAAGTGATAACGAAGAGCAATCTGTTTGGTCTTCGAATGCTGCACAGGATTATGTCAAATTCTTATTGCACTTTGTGAATCACAGTATAAAGGGATCTTTTTCGTATTAATTGCTTAATCACGTAATTGACTTTGAATCCAAACTGTTTGTGATGTGTAAGCAACAGCAACAACATATTCAGCTTCTATTGTTGAGATAGAAACACATGTATGCTTTTTTGATTGCCAACTTACCCAATTTACCAACAAGTAATTGACATCCACCACTTGTACTTTTCCTATCCAGATTACATCCTCCTAAATCAGTATCCAAATATGCTTGTATGAAAAACCTATTATACAAAGGATACCACAATCCATGAGAAGATATTCCTTTCAGATAACGAAAGATATTCTTTACAGCGGTTAGATGAGGTTCTCGAGGATTTTATTGATACCTGGCACAATTACAAACAGAAAACATGATATTAGGTCTACTTGCAGTCGAATAGAGAAAAGATCCATTCGTGCTATTCACCAATCCAAATTTTTTGAGCAGATTCTTCGTGTATTTTTCTTGATTTATAAAAATGCCTTCTCTATTTTGACGAATGTTTAAACCAAGAAAATTGTTAATTTTTCCCATCATGCTCATTTTGAACTTACTTTTCATCATATCTTCGAATTTTTTAGACAAATCATGGCTAGTTGAGCCAAAAATAATATCATCAACATAAATTTGAACAAGCATTAGATGATTCCCAACTTTATTACCAAATAATGTGGGGTCAACTGATCCTTGTTTAAATTTAGATTACTTCAAATATGAAGTAAGAGTTGCATACCAGGCTTGTGGTGCTCGTTTCAAACCATAGCCTTATCTAAAATATAAACATAATCTGGATGTTCTTCGTTTATAAAACCTGGAGGTTGTTCCACATACATTGTTTGTTCTAGTTCTCCATTCAGAAATGCACACTTCACATCCATTTGATATACATCAAAATCTTTGTGAGTTGCATAAGCCAAAAATCTACGAACTGCCTCGAGTCTTGCAACAGGGGAAAAAGTTTCTTCATAATCAATTCGTTCTTGTTGTGAATAACCCTTTACAACAAGTCTAGCTTTGTTTCGAATGATATTTCCATCTTTGTCGGTTTCATTTTTGAAAATCCATTTTAATCCGACAACCGAAACATCATTTGGTTTAGGAATTAACCTCCAAACATTATTTCGTTCAAATTCAGACAATTCAGATTGCATTGCAACAACCCAATCTGAGTGTTCCATTGCATTCTTAACTATTTTTGGCTCAATTTTAGAGATAAAACGTTAAACATACAAAATTCTTGATTAACATTTAATACCTCATTCTTCGCACAAATTTGAGCTCTTGTTAAAACTCCTTCATGTAGATTACCAATTATTTGCTCCTTGGGATGATCTTTTGTCCATTTTTCCATTGGTGGATAAGCTGGATCGAAGTCCAAACGTGCATCCTCATACATTTCATCGTTTTCAGATCCTACAATCGAACAAACATCATTAATATCATGAAAATATTCATTATCTTGATTTAACTCCCCCTCAACATGATCATTTATTTGCTCCCCCTCAACATCATCACATGTTCTTTCATTCTCCCCCTCGAAAAAATGCTCCCCCCTCAAGTAGAGTGTTTGAATTCATGTGTGTCACACCCCAAAACCGAAATGGCAGAAGCGTTCAGGGGTGGAGGACATCATGTCAAGTATCACGAGATATGTATATGGTAAGCAAGTAATGAACAACCATTTCATTTAGAAAGAAAGATCTTACAATGTGTATGTTCACAAAACGTAGAAGTCATAAACAAATAACAAAACAAGACTTGAAGCTGTAATGCTCCATCTTCTGAATCTCCAGCACGAGCACCTATCTAATAGTCTCCTGAGAATACAAGTTATTTGAAAGAGTTGATCAGCAATTATGTTGGTGAGTTCATAAGATTTTAGTGATGTGAGTAAGCTGTAAAATGTGGTTGAAAATGTATATGCACAAGTGATATAAGCTGTAAGTTCTGTTTTGAAAAGTTCGCCTGTTTCTCTAGAAAATCCTATATTTCCTACTTTAATGGAAGTTAAGTAAAATGACACTAAAAGCCTTTCTATGCGTACTAATTGGGTAAAAGTTATATATACTTAGAGTAAATAAACAATCGATTGTGCGCATCTGCCCTAAACTGACAACCCAACGGGGAACAGCAAGTAAGGCGGATAGCACACATTCCATTGGTTGTTAGATCGTTGTCATATATAACCTTGGTGTATTTGCTTGTTACTCATGGAGTTATTTGTAATGGTTCCTTTATATCTAATGGAGGGTTCTTTTAAGAAAAC